TGCAGTGATTTGTAGGTTCATCCATCACATTAATTATTAAATATTAATTTAATGTTAATAAAGTAAAAAATGAAAATACACGAGTTTTATTTATTTTTATCTCTTACTTACAAATAGTCATGCGTAGGGTAGGGCGCCATGGAAAAATTTTAATTGAAAAGGGCGCCACGACTAGGAAAAAATTTGGGAACCATAGATATAAGTAATTGGTTGGATATCTACATTCTCAGTATTCCATCAGTAGGAAATGAATAGATAGCCTATTTATGGAGTAAAGTTCGTTGTACATAATGGGGAGTTATATTAAATTCATTTAAGTACACTAGCAATCCCATAAGTATTCCAACCCAGGCAAGTATTGGCAAGCATACGTTAAATAGAAAACATTTAATGTTTCGATTTAAATGTCCCTTGCAATCTGTTAATAGTAGGAGCACATAGTAAAAAAGCAAATAAATTTTATGGGGAATTTACAAGCTAGCCTTTGCCATCGGTTCCTTGAGATATAAAGGAACGTGAAAGCCACCATCTATGCTCCAGTACAAATGAATGAATACACTTCCGTGTTTCTAAGAGCCTAAAACTGGTAGGTATTCGACAGAGGCCATCGATGAACAAGTAAGTTATACCAAGTAAAATGAAAAAGTTACAAAAGTGAGAGTATTTTAAATAAGCAAGAAAAGCGTAGCTTTGTGAATTAATGGTTCAAAATATTTGTCAATAATTTTTAGGAGAATTTTAGCAATATAAAGACTTGCTTAATACTCTAAAATCGGAACACATTTAACACATAATAGTCTTATTAAGTTGTATTGTGCAAAAAAATTAAAATTTCATGCTGCCCTCATTATATTATCATATAATTATTTTAGGAAAATTATAAACAGGAATGTGAAGTATATTGAGTGTCGTATACAAATTAATTTCACAAAAGATGTTTTTGAATAGTGAAAATTCCTTTCTTTTTAGTCATAAATGTGCTCCAAGGATGTCTGCAAAATGGTAATTATTAAACCAGTATAGTGTTCGTTCGCACCAACGAACAATATCGATGATGATAAAAGAAAACAGTGAAAAAGGCCGAAGAGTTACCGGCATGCCGTGCAGACAAGTGGCGGCAAAGGGAACCGAGCTGCATATGCAGCTACTGCTGCGGGAACTCCGCGTCCAGCCTGAGCGGCACGCCGGGAGCCGCGCTCCAGTGCGCGGGCCAAGAGGTGAAGCTGGGCCGGGGAGCTGGCCTCGTAGACATGTTTGCACCAGCGCTGCCAGCCTGTGGTTGTACGAACGGCTGAACCGTTGCTGTCAACTGAGACATCAAGTGACCCTGCTGCCACTGCCATATTATGAGTGGATGGTGCGCCTGGGTCAAGAGCAGAGTTAGTCAGAGAAGTAGGACCGACTATGTCAGAGGTCAGAGGTTTGGATGAAGTCGCAAGCGGAGTGTCCGATGGAGCCAAAACGGAGTCAGCGTCAACTTGCTTAGGGTCTCCAGACACAGTAGTCCAGTTGGAGCCCAGGGAAAATCCATCGTGGATATTGGGGGCGATGTTGGGTGTAGTGGAATGCGAGGCAGAAGTAAAGGGGCTAGCATTGCAGCCGCTCCCGCCTGTTGAAATTGCCGAGGGCCAGAAGTAAGCGCCAGCAGAAGAACCGCTACGCAAAGTCTTGTCCTCTGAGCCTGAAGCAATGTAATAGAAAGTAATACAGTTAGCTTTATTTGGATATTGAAGCTATCGAGTATATTCGCGAGTAATCAGCGTGTGAAATTTGTATGCAGTTATATATTTGGACATAAAAAATCAGCTTTCTATCCGAAATGAAATGATATATCCGGTAGCTCTTGGGAAGAAAAGGGTTTAAGAAGCATATATAGGCCTTGGTAATAGACAATAAAATAACTATGCAACTTAGGATATATCGCGTATAGCTTGGAAACAGATGTAGTGGCTAAGAAAAATTAAGAAAGGTAGAGAACTCTAGCATGAATAAATTTATCCTAGACTAGACGTCATATAAAAAGAGGAAACTAAGCATCACCTTAATAAAAAAAGATTGCATGTGTAATTGTCAGAAAATCTAAGGAGAAGATATAACAAATATTCCTCCAAGTAAAACTAATTAGATGGGATGAAAAGCACAAATTAAAAGTCGAGTATTCTAGTGGGAAAACTATGCTACTAAGAAGGCGGTACATAGTAACGATTTGACCTCGATTTTGCAAATTGGTAGGAGCTACATTAAGACCTTGTAGAACGTACCTAGTTCTGAAACCTCTGCTGCAGTAGTAGTGATAATTTCCAGTATAAGACAGCTGACTAAGAGACGGGAAAAGGGCTGTGAAGTGGAAATGCGGGGATATATTAATAGGAGTTAGCATAGCGAGAGGGCAGATTGCACAAGCGGTGAACAGAAATTCGGTCAGGGGTATTGCCTTCACTTGTGATGATGCTAAGTTGTAACTCTAATAGGGATGGCGTCTCTCCCTGGCGATGCCAATGAGGCGTCTGAGAATGCGATAAGTTGACAGTCTGTTGCTGGAAATTATCATCAATGGCACAGAACTCAAGACTAGGTATGTTCCTCAAGGACTAACTAATAGCATATAATTTTCACCTCATATCTAACTTTGTCCGCAGATAAAGAATTTTACTTGAGTTCACAATTGCAACGCCTCCTGTATTATTTAGGCATCGTCTACCAACAGAAAAAGTCTCAATCAATGGCAGACAGCGAGCTAACTTTTGAATTACTTCAGAGGATTTAACTGTTTTGATAACCTCCGGTGGACACGTATTCATACCAGGCGAAAGCAGTGAAGCATGTGAAATGTCTGTATTAACAGATATTACTGCCTTGGAAGAAGAAGAACAGTCTGGTGTAAAAAAGTGCAGATTTTAGTCTCAGGTGTGGGTGATGGAGCCTGACACCAGCGCTCCCTGAAGACAAGTTTAAATGACGGACAGGATAAAGGTAACGGCCAAGATGAGTTGCAATACCAGCAAAAGCTACATCAAGCCAACCATAGAGAAGAAGCTCGGCAGAATTGGTGCAAAAGTGACGGGACTCACTGGTAGCAATTTGACTGGTTGAAGGAACATCAGAGGCACACTTGTTGGTGGTGCTGCAACTGGACATAAGGGTCGATGTATGTTCTTCAAGGTCTCCATGTCGCTCCGACCAAGTTGTAAAAACAAGTAGAGCCAACAGAATAAACAATGGTGTTGGCCTGATCTTGTTTTCGTAACCTGGTCTGAGAAAAAGAACGTACCTGGTCCTGCGTTCTCTGCCATAGTATTTATTTAGAGTTCCAGCATCGAACCATTGACTTGGTTCATTCTCACTTTCGCCCCGAACAAGTTGCGAAAACGAGTTCGAACTAACACTATATAGCGATAAGAGGCCACATCATCTTGGTTCTCATATCTAAGACTAACTAATGGCTTGTATTTTTGACCCCATATCTGACTTTGTCCGCAGATAAGAAGAATTTTACTTGAGTTTACGACAAAAAGGCCTCTTGCAGTGTATAGGCATCGGCTATCAACAAAAAAGTCTCAATCATTGGCAGACCTCGCACAAACCAATGGGATTGTAGAAATATGTCCGAAGAAACCCTCGTTTTGTCTAAGTGAGGCATTAATAGTATTTGGCCTTAATTTCGGAATAAAATTGCTTGGGATCCTCGCTGAATTCAGGTTAACCATTTAATTGGACGATTTAAGATACTGGCTGTATTAAACATGTATATTTACTTACGAAAACGTGATTTTATATAGGATGAGAAGAAATAAAGAAATATATGAATATAATTTACTGATTTCTCTTTCCAAATTAGTATGTTCATTAATTCCAGTTGCAAGTGAGAATAAGAGAAAGATAAGAAATAGCCTTTTACGGATTTGTATGTTTTAAAGACCAGTTCCTAAGATCAAATGACGACATCAAGAATATGAGCTCACTTATAGGTCCTGCAAGAGCTCGAGGTCCAACCGATTTTCCGATGCTTAAAAGAATATCAGAGTAACGGCGCTGAAGCTCTGCAAGATGCGAGTGAGATAAGATGTTTTCACTTTTTTGAAGTGTAGAATTCTCTGAGGCAGAGAGTGTAGGCGAACCAAGCGATATCTTGTCATTAGTCGTAGCTCCAGATATTCTAGGTAGCAAGCGAATCAAGGAAAAGTTGATAAAAAAATAACATGCCAGTAGAAATTGACGAACAATTAGCATGAATGTAATAATGTAGTAGCAATGAACAAACAAGTCTATCAATAAAGCCTACTGGATAAGTTGCTTTTGATCAACAACCATTTCAATTTTAGCTGTTTCCTTGACAGGATTTTCATCTGAGCAAACTGTGTGGCTATTGTCTATGGATGTATCAGACGAGTTAATTTTCGATATTATTTCAAGGGATTTAACTGTTTCGATCGCTTCCGCTTCACGAGTGGCCTCCAATGGGCACGTATTCATACCAGGCGAAAGCAGTGGAGCACTTGATATGTCTGTATTAACAGATATTGCTGCCTTGGAAGAGGAAGAACAATCTGGCGCAGAATCTACTGGTGTAGAGTCAGATATGCTTGGAGTGCCAGAAAGTGTCGAATGAGTCTCAGGTGCAGGAGGTGGCACAGAAGTGATGGAGGAGGAAGAGGAACAGGAAGAAGATGAGAACTTGCGCCTGACACCAGCGCTCCCTGAAGACAAGTTTGAATGGCGGACAGGATAGGAGTGACGGCCAAGACGAGTTGCAATACCAACTAGAGCTGCATCAAGCCAAGCGTAGAGAAGAAGCTCGGCAGAATTAGTGCAAAAATGACGGGACTCACTGGTAGCATTTTGACTGGTTGAAGGAACATCAGAGCCACATTTGTTAGTGATGCTGCAGCTGGACAGAAGAGTGGAAGTACAAAGTGTAGGAACCTGAAGTTTGGATTTCTTATCTGATTCAGAGCGAACAAGCGGAGGATCCGGATTAGAGACTGAGAGGATTGGCTCCTTTGATTCATCACTCTCCTTGGTTGTGCAGAATTCTATTTTAACACTTCCGGGCTGAAACAATGGAGGAGCAGATATAAGCCAAGTATTCACAAGTAATCTGCTTCCACTATCAAGTTTCCATAAGCTCATCTTCCTGTCTGTTTGCAGGAGATAGCTGCAGTAAACCAAATAAATGGAGTAGTTTGGCTATAAGAGCATTTT